AAGACTGCAGCTGCTCTCTCCTTCACTTATTTTCTGAAGTATATAATCAAAATGTACATTATTAAAAGACCAAAGGTAATCTAATCACATTGTCATACAGTGTTTTTCTTAGTGAAATATACTACATTACTGCATAGTGTTGAGGAAAGGTGACTGAGGTACAGGCTTTTCTCAGTTGCTTTCTTTTACACACCAGAGAGACATCCTTTGTTTTCAAAGGTTTTACCTACAAACATTCTCTCCTTACTCTTAACTCTTCTCAGGGATTGTTTGTTTTCTCCAACACTGAACAATTTTTTTTTCCCATTATCATCTGATAACAGAAGAAATAGAGGGTGATTATCAGGTGAACTTATTTAACATGAATTTTTACAAGTGAATTCTCCCTTCCTCTAGCCTCATTTCTAGCAACCTTATCCTGCTGTAGGAGACTTCTTACATCTGTCAACCTCCTGAAAGTGCTTGTTTTTGTGATCTTCCTTCTCCTTACTGCCCTTATAGTACAATATAAATGTAAGTAATTATTATGCTTTCTCTCACGTGTTCTAGAACTACTTTCGATGCTTTCCCCATGAAGTTTTCGAACTTCCTACAAATTCTTCCTTAGTGTCAACTCCTTTTACAGCCTCTCATTGAATGATTTCAACCAAGAAGCCCCACTTTAAGGACTTTAGTTCAGTTCTTTATTTCCCTGCAAGTGCTCTGCACAGTGCTTCTTTTCTTATGTTCCCTTGGATGGAGACTGAACACAAGTTGGGACAAGTCTCTAATTTGATATTTGTGAAAGTTTTTTCCACTCCTGGTATACAGTAAGAGTTTATGGTGATTATCATTGTCATAATAACGCTAAAAACAAAATCATTGTCTGGACTAGAGCCTTGATGCTGAACCTCCTATTTCTTACATTCAGGAGTGAGTATAGACCTACCACCACCTAATGACTTTAATTCATTCTACAAAAACATGATGTTAAGAGAAATTACTTTAAAAAATGTTCCATAGGAATATTATAAATGGGTGATTTGCCAAATAACTGCATAGTGGGGTTTAGTTATAATTTGTCAATGGTATTATTGGGGAAAATTAGTTAGGGCTGTTGAGGTCATATTTGGAAGAGTGGTTCAGGTATGAAAAAATTCATTTAGACTTTCTCTGTAGCCACTGGTGATGAGTTCAGGGTGCTCCTGAAGTGATGAGGAATAGATGTGGGGGTTCTACTGTCCTAAAAGAATTGATTCAGACAGTCTCCAAGTTACAGAAAGGCATTTATTGGGGTGATGCACCCAAGCGGGCCTACTCCCCACGAGGCACAGCCCCAATGGGCTCTACTCCATGTGAGAGGCAGAGCATAAACTGCAGGCCCTGCTCCCCTAAGGCAGAAGAGTGGCCCCTGCCTCCTGTAGGAAGCAAAGGCAGTCAGCCAGGTCAAAGGTATGGTGATCTGGATAACGATTCAGGAAAGGAACCCAAGAAGTTATCAGAATGGTAGGAAGAAAACCAGGAAAGAGTAGGATTATGAAAACCCAGTGAGAAAAGATAATTCAGGAAGAGAATGTTTGTTAACAGCGTAAAATGCAGCAGAGAGGCCAAAAAGGATGAAAACTGAGAAAAGACAGTCAGATTTGTTAATTAAGAATTCATTGGTAACTTTGGAGAGCAGTTTCAGTTAAGTAAATGAGGACAAAAGCCAGACTGCAAAGTGAGAGGAAAGGAGGTGGAGGCAGTGTGTAGAAAGAGCTTTTTCTAACACTTTTGCTGAGAAATGGAGTAGAGATGGTTTGAAGGGACTATAGTGTTGAGGTCTACGGGTGCTGGGAACCCCAAAGGGCAAACGACGAAGGCCCTGCCTCAAATGAATTCAACCCAAGCCTTCTTTCATCCAGAGACAAGGTTTATTAAAACACTGGTTGGGTGGGCAAGATTTTAAGAATCTGTCCGATTTGGTGATGCTTGTATTGACAAGCAGGCCAGACTCTTAAGGAATCTGAGCCATTTAATGGGGGCAAGAGGGACACATATACAGTGGCCAAGGAGTAGCCAATAGCTTGAATGACTGGGAAGTAATGTAGAAGGACCCAGAAGGGCCCAGTGCCCCAGGCAAATGCCAGGGACCTGGGCCACAAGGAAGGGGTCCAGATGGAATTAAGGGTGGGACATGGCCAGGGCATCTGGAGGGAAGAACTTCGCTAAATTAGAGGTAAACAGAGAATTGGAGATTGGGGCTGGATCAAAGCCACAATGCAAAGACACTTGAAAGGATTATAGCCTAAGACCAACACCAGGGCCATGTTGGTGAATTCAGGGGAAGTTGGGGGTGGAGGAGGGTTTCTAGGGCCTATACCCTGTCAGGAGGATCTAGAGGATTTTTTTTTTTTTAATGGAGAGACTTGGGCTAAGTGGAGAGGGAACTAATAAACAGGGAGAATTTGAAAATTAGAGAGTTTGAGGATACAATATGCTGGAGAAGATGGGAAGGGATGGAATCAGGGCCATAAGTAGAGGGGTTGGTCTTGGCAAAAAGAAGGATCATTTCATCATCAAGGCTGAAGGAAAGGAACAGAGACGGAGGCATGATGTCAAGGAGTTGTTGATGAGGTAGAAAAGAGCGCTTGAGGCAAGCAAAGCAAGCAGGATAGGAGGTAGGAGACAAGCTGCAGGATGTGACCAGCCAGAAAAGTGATCAGAGAAGACTAGGCATGGAAGACCCCACCGAGGACCTATCTGTGTGCTTTCACAAAGCACCCTCGACTCCAGAACAGCTCTTCCCCTCCCCTTTCCTGTTCCCTTTGCTAATCACCTCTGGTCTACCAGGCATTTTGGAGCCCTGCTTGCTCCTCCCATTCTCTTGTCCTCTTCCCCCTATTCCATAAAATTGTATTTAAACCATACCTTTGACCTGGCTAACTGCATTTGCCACCTAGAGGAAGCAGGGGCCACTCTGCTCCTTTAGAGGAGCAGGGCCTGCAGCCTCTGCCCTGCCTCCTACATGGAATAGAACCCATTGGCGCTCTGCCTCACGGGGAGCAGGTCTGCTTGGGTGCGTCACCCCAATAAAGGCCTTTCTTTAACTCAGAGACTGTCCAAGTGAATTCTTTCAGGACACTAAGACCCACACGTCTATTTCTCATCACTTCAGAGAGCACCCCAACATTCTTGGGGTTCACTCTGAACTCATCACCAATGGCTGCAGAGAAGGTCTAAGTGAATTCTTTCACACCTGAACCAGTTCTCCCAAATCTAAACCTCAACATTGTGAGATGAAGAGGGACCTCAAAGTCTCAAACTTCTTCAAAAAAGTAAGAGGTAAGGTCCTCAACTTGGGAAGGTGGATGGAAGAGAAGGTGTGGGATGCTTGAGGAAATAAAAGATTTAGACTAGCTTTTGTTGGTAGTAGGATAGGGGCAGAGGTACGTGGGAGCCAGCTTATACCAGCTCATTTGAATTGACTGTTCAATTTTCATTGTGAGCTGAAATTGTACCTTAGAAATTGGCAAACTACAAATCACGATGATTTATTGTTTTGTTGCTTGTCTACACCACAGGGTTCACACTGGAAGCTAAAGATTGATGTTCTATCCACAACATTCCCCAGTGCAGCATGAACCACACTAAAATGTAACTGGGTGATATTTAACAACATAAATAAAAATCCAACAGAATATAGATAACATTGTTATGTGGTTTTCTGCATCAATATGCAGCTGGCAGGGATCCTAATATACAATTTAGTGACCCTGTGGCTGTTTGTGTTTGATAACACTAGCCTTGATATAAGAAAGTTATGGAGAAAATGTTAATAATGCCTATTAAATTAAAAAGTGTGTCCAGCATACTTTTCCTTTCTGGAGAGCCAGTTGTTAAACATTTACCAGCACATCTCTGAATAGGGAGTCAATTAGGAAGGAGTGAAAGGATTGTGTTGCTGCAATGAGGGTCCAGTTGAGAATAGAAAGGAGTAATGTGTAGGATACATATTCAGTTTGGTTAAATTATTTCTTCCACCCCCATTCAGCAAAATTCGAGCTGGAGAAAAGGAGGCGGATGGTGGTAGTAACAAAGAGCTAGGTTTGGCAAAGGATCAGCAGGAAAAGGACTAGGAGATGAGGAATTAGAGATTAGACCCCTGGTGTGGAGTTGAACTAATAGATTCTAGATTGAGAAGGATGGGGAAAAGAGATTAGAGGATTGTTGATATTGAGCCGGGGCTTTAAAAATCATCTGCTTTAATCCACTCATTTTACAGATATGGCAACTGGGCCCCACAGATGTTCAGTGACTCCCTCAAGGTCACTAACCTAGAAACAAAGCAACTAAATGGCAGAGTCAAGTCACCTGGTATAAGAGCAGAATTAGGGGCGAAGAGTGAGACTGGGAGAAAGGTTGTGTGAGTTAGGCTCACACAGCTCTCAGCTCTCAGACACTGAGTTGGGACCTCTAGTCTTGTGCTGGACAGCTAAGCGGGACAACCTGGGTTGAAATCCTGACTCACATCTTCCTAGCCGTGTGACCCTGGACAAGTCGATTCACTTCTCCGTGTCTGTTTCCTCACCTGCAAAATGAGAGCTGGACCCGATGACCTCTAAGTCTCCTTCCAGCTCTAACTCTACATTCCTATATTCCTGTGATCCTATGACAACTCCTTTCAATTGTCAAGCCCGGGCCAAGACTCAGCAGAGCGTAGGGGCAGAAAGTGGTGCACAGAGGTAACTCCTGCGCACGAGGGGAAGGCTGTGCTCGGCGGACTGCTTCCAGCACCGCCCCGTTACCCATCCCCAGCAGCCAGGTTGCTAGTGCGCAGACTCCCTCCCGCCGTCTCCCAACCCGGGTCTCGCAGTCTCCTCAGCGGCCCCGCCCCCTTCCTGCAAGCTTTCGCTCTCGCTCTTATCTACGACTACAATTCCCCACCCCACCTCCTAGGTGTGAGGTTGCGCACGACTCCCTTCCTAGTCCTGACCCTCCGTGGTCCAGAGCCGGAACAACAACACGTGATCGGGCACGTGACTTCCTGGGCTGGCCAAGATGGCGGCCTCCAGCGTGATTCTCGTCCTGCTGGCCGTGGCTTTGGGGTCCCTGTTGCTTGTGTGGTGGGCACGGCAGCGGCCTCGGGCCCGCAGCGTGTGCGTAGTGGTGCTCGGGGATGTGGGCCGCAGTCCCCGGATGCAGTACCACGCGCTGTCCCTGGCCCGGCGCGGCTTCGATGTGACCCTGCTAGGGTACCGCGGTGAGCGGGGTCCCCGGGTGGACGGCTGTGGGTAAAACCCAGGGGGATTGTCGCTATTCGCCTTCCCCTGAGGCACCGAGGGTAAGAGGTTCTTTAGTTCCAAGACCTGCTTCAGACTCAGTCTGCAGGCAGCCACCCACCCCACCTCCATCCCGGTCACTCCACCTGCGGATTCTCATTTGTGTGTTTCATGTAATTGGTGCTGTTTTGTCACCTCCCCGAGGGCAAAGGCGTTGCCCTTTCTTTGGCCTTCTCTGCTTCACTTAGAAGCAGATTAGAAATGCTGGGCATCTAGGAGGATGACTTCTCCAGAGTGACTTCTGTGAAGGGGGTTTACGCTAACTCCTCAATCTCCTTGCACACATACCTTCCACAATTAAATATTTATTTTAGCTCTACCGTTTATAGCCTCTGCCCTTAAGGAGCTTATAGGCCAGTGGAGAAACGAAGTAAGTACACAAATAACGATAATACAAGTTAGAAAATGATTGAGTTCAGACAAGATTGAGGGATAACAGTTTACGGGGTTCATTACTGGCCTGGGGCAAGTCAACAGGGAAATCTTCATGAAGGAGGTAGCAGTTGTGCCAGGTTTTGGAGAAGGTGAGGAATGTTGATGGGATGAAAATGGAGTTAGGGGTGGAGTAGAGTAGGGCAGAATTTGTTATAGACGGGAAACTGTACAAAGGCTCAAGAAGGAAAGAGTGAGTAGTCCATTTTGGCTTGTCCTATAATGTGTGAAAGCTAGGCAGCTGGGGAAGACTGGAAAGCTCAGTTACTATCAGACTGGGAAGCTCTTGGAATACCAGGATATTTCTTCCAGAGTTAGGTGGGTTTGTGATCTCATCAAGTTGGGTACTTCCTCCATCAGTGCAGATTACAGCCCTTCTATGCCTTCTCATCTTGCTTGACTTGCCCACATTTTCCTATGCATCCTCAGCAAGGACTCAGCCTAATGTTCTGGGGATCTTTCTCTAGATCTCTGGACCGTGTGCAGATAACATGGAGGAGCATGGCATAGTGAATAGAGAGCTGGGCTTGAAGCCAGAAAGACTTGATTTTGTTTTTCTCAAGACCCATTTTTTAAACATGCTGTTGTGTGACTCTGAGTTCTCAGTACTTTAGGCAACTCAGAGACTGTAAGTTGCTGAAAAGTTGCATACCTGCATTGGTAAAGGGAATTTGCTCAACTGGGAGCTCCCTGTATACCAATGAAATCACATGTCCAGTCCCCATCCCTGAGTATTTATTAAAGCCCTGCTATATGCCAATCACTGTGGTAGGTGCTGGGGATATGAAAACAAGAATTTACTAAGTGTGGCAGCACTGGGGATACAAAGGCAAAAACACAGCCCTTGCCCTCAAGCAACTCATTCTGATGGGGAGAAAACATGAAAAATTGTACATATAAGATATGTACAGTGCAAATGGAAGGAGAGGGAAGGCACTGGCAAAGGGGAGGAGTGACTGAGGCATCCTACAGTAGGTGAGATTTGAGCTGAGTCAGGAAGGAAGTCTTGAAGGCAGATGTGAGGAGGGAAGAACATTCCAAGCATGAGGCATGGATAAATAAATAAAAGGAATGGAATCTAAAGATAGAGAGTCAGTGCAAGGAGCAGCAAGAAGGCCAGTGTCCTTGGATTATAGAGTATGTGACTGTAAAAAAAAAAACTGGAATGGTAGGAAGGGACCAGAGTTTTAAAAAGCCAAGGAGATAATTTTATGTTTAATCCTGGAGTTAATAGAGAACCACTGCAGTTTATTGAGAGTGTGTGTGTGTGTGTGTGTGTGTGTGTGTGTGTGTGTGTGATGGTAAGACTTCAACTTTAGGAAGAGAACTTTAGCAGCTGAGTGGAGGTTAGATTGGAGTGGGAAGAGACTTGAGGCACAGAGACCAACCAGAGGACTTTTACAATAGTTTAGATGTTAGGTGATGTGAGAAATTGCACCTTGCTGGTGTCTGAGTGAATAGAGAGGAGGATGTATTCAAGAGATGTGGTGGAGGTAATTATATGGAGGTAAGTGTGAGTGAGGAGTTGAGGATGCCACCTAGGGAAGAAGAGGGAGCTCTAAGTGAATGGTTTCCATTTTTTCACTGAAGTGTGAGGCAAGTCCTCAGCTCAGAGGGGAGGGGGAGGGAGGGCTTGAGGAGGGATAAAAAGTGTGGAATAGCTGCTATGAATGGAGCAGCTCCTGATTAAGGAGGTGTAAAAGGATTGCCTTGCATATTGAGGGTCTAGGTGGGATTATGTAACATAGATTTGTAGTGGACCCAGTCAGCATGGTTTCATGGTTTTCTCTAGCTCCATTCAGTAGCACATGAAAAGAGCAAAGACAGTGGATGGTAGGAATAATCTGAGGTTGGGGTTTGGGAATCCTGATAGGTAAGGACAAGGGAGGCCAGGGACTTGAGTGTATAGTATGGTGTTGAACTGTTTCACCAAGGAATGACTATAAGGAAGGGAGGAGAGTATAGCCAGTTTGGGACTGATGACCTGGGAAAGAACTGAGGATGCAGGGATTGGAGGTCATGATGAGGATGAAGAACAAGGTTAGGAGTCCAAGGCAGAGGGTAAGATGGAATGATAAAAGATTATGATCAAAAGGAATTTCAGAGTTCATGATCTTGAAAGTACAACACTTGTGAGTGATGGCAAGATCAATGGTGTGACCATCCCTGTGTGTATTTGAAGTAGAGTGGGGGGAATAGGCCATGGAAATGAGGAGATCTCAATCCTTAAGGATCTTACATTTTCTTTGGTGAGGCAGGGAGGGAACAATTTGTTCTCCCTTCCATACTTAATAGAAAATTAAGTATGGGATCTATACAAAGTAATTCCCAGCATGCAGTCTGTCCTTTGCTTATTGCTTGTTTTCAGTAAGTTACTGGTCCACTTTCTTTTTCTGGCTTACATCTCTCTGATGATATCATCAACACTGCTTCTGCTGGGCATTTCTTCCTTGACAATATGTTGCAGCCTATTCAAATCCACCATGTGCCTCTTCATTGCCTTTTGGGTCACCTGCAATGTTAATTCTAAGGAGATGAGTGATTCACCATGACTTATGGCCATATTGGATCACTGGAATAATATTGATGTTATAAGGTGGACCTTTCTTCAGAGAGAAGTTGGGAGTCATTAAAGGCAATGAACAGTTTCCCAAATGCAATTTGTTCTTGCTCAATTAATTCTTCTCTTTTTCCTGCTCAGTTCTGGGTCTAGTTCCTTGTCCATCTGCATGCAACGTTTTCCAAAGGTATATGGACTAGTGGACCAATTCTATGGAGTGTCCTTCTAATTTCAGATCATAGTTGGGACAATAGCCTTTTTTGCCTGCATGTATAGTTGGACTGGATTCTTTTGAGTGATCATTTATCTCATTTAGTTGTCTCTGAGGTGCTAAACAAACCCCAGTTTTATTTGGATTCAGTGCTATAAGCTCTTGGAGGTCAGGGACTTCATTTTTGTCTTGATATCCCCAGTGCTGGGCACATAGTAGGCCCTCAATAATTGCTTGCTGTTTGATTGGACATTCTCCGTGACAGTAACGAACATTTTTATTGAATATATATTTCTCTACATTAAGCTTTTTAAACTTTCATCAGATAGTTAGTTAACATAGGTACTTTTGTTGTGACATCTTTCAAGGAATTTTGCATGATTTTAACTTGTGCATGAGAGACCCCTTGTTGGAGGAGAGCATTTTGCTCTATCCAGTCAAATGGAGCAAAACCAGTAAATACATTTTGGCCTTGTGGTTTCTGTACCTTTTGGACAATTGTGTGTGTATTCAGATATATGGGACAAAGAATTGATAAGGCTGGGAACTGGGGTGATAGCAGTAGGAATGGAAAAGAAGGATCATTGTAGGAGATGGTTTAAAGAGAGGATTGAAAGAATTTGACAGTTTTAAGGACAGATGAAGAAGTCTGAAGAGTAAAGAATGACTGAATTTTAAGCTTGAAAAACTGAAAGAATGGTAGTGCTATCAACTGAATTGGGGAATCAGATGGAACAACTGGTTTTGGAGGCAAGATGATGAATTTGGACTTGGATATGTTGAATTGGAGGTGTTGGTGGCACATACAGGGGAGGTGTGAGACAGGCAGTTGGAAATGCGGGCCTGAAGTTTAGGGAGGTGTTGGGCTTAGGTTGAGCATGGAGATATGGGTTTGGGAGTCATCTGTGTGCTCTTCTCATTGGACTTGACCATGATATCTCTTTCAGGCTCCAAACCTCATGATGAAGTCCTAAGCAGTAAGAGAATTCATATTTTGCACGTGTATGAAGTTAATCGAATCCCAGGTGAGATTTGTTAACTTTTTTAGTTTTCCCTTTTGAGGCAGGTGGTAGGGTAAAAATGCAGGGAGAACCAAATTGCATTTGATTCTCACAGCTGTTCTTTGACTTTCAGTTGGTCCTCGTGTGTTTCAGTATGGGGTAAAAGTTGTCTCCCAGGCAATGTACCTTCTGTATACCTTGCTTTTAAAGACTCCTCCAGTGGATTACATTTTACTCCAGGTAAGTGTTAGTCAGTTCCTCATATGAAAAGTTACTTTACAGCACTTACCAACAGTGATTTGGGTTTCAGGGGATTATAGTTGTGTGACAACCTTTTGCTTTCTTCCTATTTTGTCCTCTTCAGTCCTTTGGTGTTGCAACATTATCAGTGGAACTTCTTATTGATTAAGAAGTGTGCTTCCTCCAGGGTGTTAGATATAAGTCCATGAGTGTGGAAGTGACACCTTCCTGGTGGGGTTGGGGTACATAGTAATCCTCACGTGCTACCACTAAATCTCTTAACTCAAGACACTCTTTTCTCTGTTATTTCTGTCCTACCATCTTGGTAAGTTTGTTCCCTCTCTGGAAGACTGTAGGTGGTCAGGAATATGAGCTCTGGGACTATGAATGACAGTCCCATGCATCTTCTCCATAAAGTTCAACACTAGGAGAGATTTGGGGAATTTTTCTGTTCACTCACAGTGGCTGTTGTTAGGGTAGCCTGTCCCCTGGTCATGGGATCAGTTTAAATTGAGTTTGGGTTATGTGCAAGCCCTGCCGTTGGTTTCCTAGTCCTGTACTTCAAAGTTTCTTGCCTTTGATTTGACTTTCTCTCTTTCACAGAATCCACCTGGCCTGCCCAGCATTGTTGTGTGCTGGGCTGTGTGTTGTTTCCGGGGGAGCAAGCTGGTCATTGACTGGCACAACTACGGCTATACCATCTTGGGTCTGACACATGGCTTTTCCCACCCTCTTGTACAGCTGGCTAAGTGGTGAGGGGGGCAGTAGGGTCTTGGGATTGGATTTGGATGAAAGGAGATAAACATGACACAACTGGGGAAGGAGCATTAGTAGAGAGATGTGATGAAGTCAGCTTGTTATTTTTCGGTAAGGGAGGGTTAGATGAGGAACCAAAAAAATCCATTGTACTAGAGCTCAAGAACAGTAACTTCACAGACCTGAACTGATTCCCACAAATGATCTGGATAAGGCTATTCTTGGCATTCAATGCCCAGTGCTCTGAGATGGTTAATTACAGAGCTTGAATACTTAGGCACTGACCGACCATAAGTAGTCATGGCAGTGATGGATCAGGCCCTGGCATAGGAGTTTGACAAATGTATCTTTCCCAGGTATGAAAAGCTCTGTGGCCGCCTGTCAGATCTGAACTTGTGTGTGACCAATGGAATGAGAGAAGATCTGGCAAAGAACTGGAATATAAGGTATGCAAGGCCCCTGGACAGACAATTAGGATTGGAAGGAGAAGGGGGAAAGGTTCACTATATGGGGAACTATGTGCTCAGGAATGTTTGCAAAGGACTTTGAAAACACCAGGCACAAGGGTATGTTTACTAGTTATGTTAGTATGCAGAAGGAGCAGGGTAAGTAAAACCTTTCCTCTTCCATCAGTCTATCTTGAAACATCTCTGGAGGTTGTTTGTTTGTTTGTTTGTTTTTTCGTGAGGCAATTGGGGTTAAGTGACTTGGCCAGAGTCACACAGCTAGTGAGTGTTATGTGTCTGAGGCAAGATTTGAACTCAGGTCCTCCTGACTCCAGGGCTGGTGCTCTATCCACTGTGCCATCTAGCTGCCCTGAGGTTTTTCTAAAAGATTCTGAACTCTGCTCCTGAGTAGGAAGGAAAAAGGGAATGTAATTTTCTTGGGCCCTGAGCCTGTCCTCTTAGAGGTCTCTACATTTCCTTGGTCCTTCCCAGCCTTCTATTTCCTGGCCTTCTCTCTAGAGCTTCTCAATGATCTTGTTGCAGAGCTGTGACCGTCTATGACAAGCCAGCCTCGTTTTTTACAAATACTCCCCTAGACACACAACATCAGCTGTTCATGAAACTGGGCCACACCTACTCCCCATTCAGAGCAAGGTATGTCTCCCATAACCCAAGTAGTTAATTTGTTCTCTCACTTGAGCCTGTAATTTTTGCTGCAGTTTAAGAGAATTCAGATAGGGTAAGAATGTTAACATTTCTCTTCCCTTATCTTTGGGGCTTTCGATAACAAGAAAGTCTTTTGGTGTATGTCACCTGGGAGGTCTCATAAAGGTAAATAAGACTCTTGTTGGCTTGAGTGCCTGGCCAGGACCTTTGTGTGGGGAACTGCTCTGGTTACAATGGTACAGGGATGTGAACCACACTGTCTGGTGTCTCAGGGACTCCATCCACATCAAGGAGATGCTGGTCTGATCTCTGCCATTTGATAATGTCCTTGTCTCTGTTTCTGTTTAGCACAGAACCCTTGGACCCAGCCTGTGAGAGATCTGCATTCACTGAGCTGAATCCTAGGAGCAGGAAGGTGACACAACTCGATGGGCGGCCAGCTTTGCTGGTCAGCAGCACGAGCTGGACAGGTCTTGAGGTCTCTTTGAACTGGACACTTTGGGCATTACAGTATTGTCTCTAAGGGCCTGTTGTACTGAGGGCTTTTTTTAGGGGGTTGGAGGGGGCTGCTTCTTATTTACTAATTCACGTTTGAGCATAAGTAATATAGTTACTGGGATCGCTGGGTTGGGAATGGGGAGGAAGATTGTACCCTATTCAGGAGCACAAGATCAGTATCCTTTTGGGACTTTAGCCTGGGCTACTGCATAAGGCACAAGTGAGGGAAGGGGCATTAAGAAATACACCTGACTGGTTAAATGCTGTTTTTGTTTCTTATTTCAGAAGATGAGGATTTCTCCATCTTGCTGAAAGCTTTAGAAAGTAGGTGTGTTTCTGTGATTATGGGTGTTGTATTTGTTGAGGACTATTAGAATAAAGCTATTCTTGGTTCCCTTTTTGTCATATTACTCTTGGGAAGTGGTGGTTGAAGACCGGGCGGGAGACTCAGCCACATATGAACAAAGTTGCCCCTCTCTTTGTCTTATTAAGCTGCTTGGCTCTGGACCAATGACATCACCTCAAGATCAGAATCCTAGAAGTCAAAGGCTTTGCGCCACAGGCTCAAAATCAAGGAAATATTGTGTTCCTCTCTTTCAGTGTATCTGATCCAATGTGATCTAATCAGTCATGATCAGGAGATCTGGTGACCAGGGTTGGCATTTTGGCTTCTTGCCTTTGGAGCCTGACTCTTCCCTTTTCCTGTACATGCATTCCCTTTGCTTTTGTATCAGTGAGGGGCCCTGTTGCAGTTTGTTTATCTCACGTCTTCTTTCTAAGCTCTTGCTCCTTCACAGGAAAGAGCAGACTTAAGGGGTGAAGGAACACGACTACATCGTGGGATTTAGGTTTCCTCTGGATTATGGTTGTCTCTTGATGTTTCATCCACCTCTTTTCACTTCAAATACCTGATTATCCTTGTTGATTCTTTAGGGTTTGAGCAGTGGATCCTTGATGGAGCAAACCTCCCGTCTCTAGTCTGTGTGATAACAGGTGCCTTGTTTTCCTTGTGTCTTCATCACTGCACATAGTGAATGTCAGGCAGTATTTAAAATTGCTTAACAGACATACAGGGAAGCCATTTTGGATTCTATTTCAAAAAGTTCATTTGTGGTATTTTAAAGGGATCAGTTGTTTGCTTGGTGGGATGCCTGACCAATCTGTAACCTGCCCCGTTTCTGGCTGATGATAGTGAGATGGGGGGAAAAGGGAGTTGGCTTGCCTGGTGAGTCAACCTGTTGAATTTCTTGAGGTTCTTTGGGCTTTTGATCTTATTTATGAATGGGAGCAAGAAAAGGTTCTGACTTGGAATGCCTGAGGCCCATAGAGCAATAGGTTTCCATGAGAGGGATTGCATTTCCAATTGAGGGTTGAAGGTTGCTCCGGTTTTGGGATATGTTTGCAAAGAACAGGGAGAGATTGAAGAGCAATATCTGTGTTTTCCTGTTCATCATAGGTAAAGGGCCTCTTAAAGAGCATTATGGCCAGATCATCAGCCAGATGTGCCTTAAACACATTCAGATCTGTACACCATGGTTGGAAGCTGAAGATTACCCTTTGCTTCTGGGTAAGAGCAGCCTATGGAGAATAGGCTTGTCCTGAAAATGGAATGACACTTAGGCATTATGGACTTGTGAGTCACTAAGCAAATCTAAGTAAGAGGCTAATAATAGATATGCCAAGACCCTGTTGAGTGAGAATAAATAGACCCTTTTTAAAAGTTTTGGGAAGAGGTGCCTGAGGGTGGGTGCAAATGGCTGAATTTGAGTAAAATAAGGCTTCATTAAGTACCAGATGAGACTCCCTAGATTAAGGTGTCAATGTCTCTCCTCTCCCCCATTCCCAGAAATCCCTTTGCAGTCTGCCAATGAAGAAGAGTTTGTTCTCTCTTCTCCCTGAATCTTCCACTCATTGGTTTTTGTCTGAAGGGCTGGGTCTGGCACAGTAGGATTTTACTCCTATCCTGATTTTTAAGCCCTGGATTCTGTATTACCTAACTTGGAAGAAAAATTCAGTGCTTTGGGTTTTGAGCACAAATCTGTCGGGGACTGATTTATTAAGTAAATAATTATTAGCATCTTTTCTTAGAAATGGAAATAGATAGAAATCTATCCTGCCTTTGAAGAAAATCTTTGTCATTAGTAGAGATCCCTAGAATTATTTTATCCCTTTGTAAATTTCAGCCTCCTGTAGGCTGTATGTGTCAGCATATTGTTCTAGTGGCTTATGCCAATTGTGAACACTCTCTTTGGGGTACTTTTAAGCAAAATGGTTGGAAATTTTGCTTCTTTAACCCACAACCCAGCTGTTGGCTATGGAACCAGTAGTTCTAGTCTATAGAGCCCCTTTAGGACTGTTAAAGATTGGTTTATTTTTCTTTCTGTTTTTTTTGTTGTTGTTGTTGTTTTTTGTTTGTTTGTTTTTAGGCAATTGGGGTTAAGTGACTTGCCCAGGGTCACACAGCTAGTAAGTGTCAAGTGTTTGGTCTGAAGCTGAATTTGAACTCAGGTCCTCCTGACTTCAGGGCCAGTGCTCTATCCACTGTGCCACCTAGCTGCCCCTTATTTTTCTTAAAATGTTTCCTTTCTCCCTACTTCGGCAGGATCAGCAGATCTTGGTGTCTGCCTCCACAAATCCTCCAGTGGCTTGGATCTTCCCATGAAGGTGGTAGATATGTTTGGATGCTGCTTACCAGTTTGTGCAGTACATTTCCAGTGGTAGGGATTTTAGAATTTGTGTGTTGTGAAATGTGTATGTGTGAAAGTTACTTAGTACAGTACCTGAACCCTTTCCGTGGACTTAGAACTTTTGTGAACTAAAGTCCAGTTGCAGTCTCAGCCTGTCACTGTTTTACAGTCAGTGTACCCTGTATGGAGTGTAATCATCAATGTGTCTGAGCCTGTCTTTGAGGGTTGACTTTTACCTCTATTTATCAGATTCACAGTGTAATCAGCAAATAAAAAACAGATTTTTCTCATTCCATTTGCCCTTAGAAGTAGATCATTACAGGGTGGTGCAATGATCCTTTGTTTCTTCTTCCAAGTTTCAGTTCTTTTGTGTTTCTTTTTTGCAGTTTACATGAACTTGTGAAACATGAAGTAAATGGCATGGTGTTTATGGACTCTGAGGAGCTTGCAGATCAGCTGAAGGTAGAGATGTTGGGCTTGGACTCTTCAACACCATTGCATTCTACCCTCATCTTCATCTCTCTAGTCTCATTTGCTAATGGTATCCTTGGTGGGAATGGTAAAAGAAAGCTAGGTTTCTGGGGTCTCACTGCCTGATGAGGTGAGGGAGAAGAGTCTAATAATAAGCACAATGGGTGGGGCCTTCAACTTTTGTTTCTCTTTTATAGATGCTGTTCTCAGAATTTTCCAGTCCTGATAACAGACTGAAGCAGTTCAGAAAAAACCTTATGGAATCAAAGCAGCTTCGCTGGGATGAGAGTTGGGAGCGGACTGTGTTCCCATTGTTTACTCAAAATTGAGGGGTTTGGCCAAAGACTTGAATTCAATAAACATCTTTTGAGTAAAAACTTACTGTGTGCAACACACCATGCTAACATGCTATAGATAAAGTTGAAAAAATTACATTCTTGTCCTTAACTAATACATAGTTTGTATTAGTTACAAGGGAAGAAACATGCCCATGAACTATAATATATTAGAAAATGATTAAATATATGGGAGAGGTAAAAGAATGTCTTGAGATACAGAGAGGAACTAATTCTTGTGGACAGGATTATGAAACGCTTCATGGAAGAAATATTATCTATTCTAGGTTATGAAAAATAACAGTAGCTTGCATTCATGTAACATTTGAAGCTTTCCAAAGGCAAAGCAACAATCAGCAGGATAAGAGGTAGTCAGGGCCTAAACATTCCTAAATGGAAAGGAGGAGATTGATATTTTGGGAAGTGAGAGGATTATTTTAGAGATGATTGATGTTTTAAACTAGAGAAGATAGTAAAACTGTTCATACACAGAGGAAAAAAAAACAAGAGAAATAGATTTTTTCAGGAACACAAGTTTAGTTTTATTCATTAAAAAATTTGTTTTTATTAACAAGCAATAATTTTCTCTTCCTCTCATCCTTCTACCCACAACCCCGATATAAACAAAAACAGTTTTAAAAGACCCTCATAACAAATATACATAGCCAAGCAAAATAAATTCTTGCAAAATATTATGCCTTATTCTGCATCAAATCCATCACCTTGTTGTTAGAAGTGTATAGCATCCTTTCGCATGGGTCCACTGGAATTATAGTTTGTCATTGTATTGATGGGAGTTCTCGAGTCTTTCAAGGTTGCTTTTATGTTATTACATAAATTCTTCTAGATGTGCTCATTGCAGTCTGTATCACTTAATAACAGGTCTTTCCCATTTTCTCTGAAATGTCCATTTTATTACTTTTTATGGTACAATAATATTCTATTCCATTGACATACCACAATTTGTTTAGTTGTTCCCCAACTGATGCTCCTTAGTTTCCAGTTTTTTGCTAATGTAAAAAGTTACTATAAATATTTTTGTACATAGAGCAATAGACCTGGAGCCAGGAAGACCTGAGTTCAAATCTATCCTTGGACACTGTGTCACCCTGAGCAGGTCACTTAACCACCACCTCAGTTTCCTTATCTATAAAATACGAATAATAGTACCTAACTCCCAGGGTTGTTCTGAGGATCAAGTGAGATAATATTTATAAAGTGCTTTGCAATTCTTAAAGCACTATAGATATGGTAGCTATATGTGGGTGATACAATTGATGGAACTCTGGACTTGGAGACAGGAAGACTTGAGTTCAAATTCTGCCTCAGACACTCCTTAGGTGACCCTCAGTCACATAATCTTTGTGCCTCAGTTTACTCATACATAAAAATGGGGATATCTTCTACCTTACAAGGTAGTTATGAAAATCAAAAAATTTAAAGTGAAAGACTTCACAAACTTTAAAGCACTATAGAAATGCTAGCTGTTATCATTAGCTATTATTTCTTTGATGTCTTTGGGGTATAATAAGTTTAGTTTTAAACTTGTTGACTTTGAAGTGCTTTTCAGGAGGCACTTGGAAATTTGGTTCTAGAAAGCTTGAGGTCATGGAGATTTGGGAATCTTCTCTGTAGAGGTGATAGCTGAAGTTGTAAGTGTGTGATTCTTGTGCAAGCATAGAAGGAAAAGTCTAAGAAGAGAACCTTAAGGGAGCGTTCATATTTAGGAGAGAAACTTCTGAAAAAAAAAAGGGGGGGTTAGACTTTATCTTTAAGGTCCCTTCCAACTCTAAAATCCTATAATTCTTCATTTGAGAAGTCAGAGAAAAAATGATGGAAAGAAATTCTTCCAGATGGAAAAGAAGGACATTGAGGTAACACATCAGATAACTTTGATTATCACAGGAAAATAGGAAGGTCCATGAGAAAGCAGAATTAAGGGGTGAGATTAGGTGCATGGGAACATTAGAAAAGTCTGAAATGCCCAGATTAGAGAGTGTGATGGGGGATCAACTAATGAACACAGGAATCACCAAGGGCCCAGCTGAGGCCAGACAGTATAAATGCAACATGTTAGTACAGTTAGGACTGTCCCTTGGAACACTCGACAGCCCAGAAGCTGAAATAACTTACTGGCACTTCCCTAGGCTAGAGAGTGGCAGTGGAGGACAGTGAAAAGCCAAAAGGTGCTAGGATGCTAGTGAGAGTATGTTTTAAGTGGCTGAGAAAAAGCTGGGGAGGGTGTCAAGGACAGCCAAGGAGGGACCCAGGAGTTAAGTTCAATCTAAAAGAGGGTGGGAGGCTATAGTAGAGAGGGGATGTTCAGAGGTCAAAATCCTGGAGGATGAAATGAAATGTGTGTGCTAATGTTAAAATGGGAGAAAAAAAAAAGAACTTTGATAGTTTTATCTTTACTTTTCCAGGGTATTTTCACTTATTTTTAGTTTCTGGATTTATAGGGAGTTGCTCACAGAGCAACAACTACGTGTCACATTTCCTTTTTCCTTATAAGGAAATAATTGGTCCAATGATTCAAGTTTTATGGAAGAACTTTCTCCTAATAATTATCTCATCTTTACTGTAGTCTTGAAATATTTACACAATCTACACCAATAATGTTAGAATTACCATCTCTGGCAGAACCAGGAAAACATTGTACACAGTAATAGTCACGTTGTGGGATGACTGACTTTGATTTACTTAGCTCTTCTCAGCAATGGAAGGATCTGAGAAAACTCCAAAAGTCTCATGATGGAAAATGCTATCCACATCCAGAGAAAGAACTATGGAGTTTGAATGCAGATGGAAGCATAGTATTTGCCATTTTTTTCCTTCTGTTTTGTTTTGTCTCCTCCTTGTGGTTCCTCCTATTGGTTCTAATTCTTCCTTCCAACATGACTTATGTGAAAATATGTTTAATAGGAATGTATATGTAAAGCCTATATCAGATTGCACACCTTGGGGAAGATTGCACACCTTCTTGGGGAGGGAGGGGGAGAAAATTTTAAACTCAAAAGCATGTGGAAGTGATTGTTGATAAATCAAAATAAGTTAATAAAAAATTTTGAAAAAAGATTTACCATCTCTGAATGTTTTTTATATGGAAAAATTTCTGATTGTGGCTAGGAGGTTTCTGTCATCCAATACCAATTCTACCAAGAAACAAATAGAAAATATCTTAGTACAGTGGTGCTTTAGGGGTATAGATTTAGAGGGAGGCATTAGTGAAGGGCTGTCAGTATAGAGCTTTGTACTTGTCATCCATATTACATATTAACACTTCTGTTCAAAAATTACTGTTTTCCTTAAGCTGTGACATCAGATTCTGACCGATGCAGATATTTTTATTATTATTTTTGTTCCCAATAATCAAAATGACATGAAGATATATAATTTCCATAATAATTTGTGTTAATACTTTGATGAGAATTTTTTTCTAAATTAGATTGAGAGTAGAAATGTAAATTAAGGGACAATCTACTAATTTCTTGACAGTATTAGGTTTTAACTAAAATCCACAGTAGAGAAGAATCATTACCAAATTCATTCATTATGCTATTTTCAAGGTTAATTACTTCTTTAAGGCCTTCTACCTTAAGAAGAGGATGTTAGCACATAGAAGTGTTTGTTGAACTTGATTCCTAGTATGATACTTGTGAAATGCAAACATATTTTCATTTACTAATGGCTTCAATGATTGTAGAAGCATTTAATTACTTGTAAGATTAGGATTAAAAAAAATCAAATCAACTTCTAACTGTAAAATTAGCACCAAGTGCTAATTGCTTCCTACTGTTAGCTATAGGATGGAAACAGAAGAATTTATAAAAGATCTGTTCCTTGACAGTAATCCTTTTTTGGCTGTTGTACCATCAGATACACTAGAAGGGTAGAGAGAGGTCTGGAGAATGTTCTGGTGAATGATAAATTTATATTTAGCTTTAAGACTTAAGAGAGGGAAGAAATTAAGGGAAAGGGTTTAGAGATTTTTAAAAAGTAACATGCTTAACTCAATATTGGAGAATAGGAATCATTTTAGTTGAGTAAGTAATAAAAAACTGAGAGAACTCAAAGGCCTACAAGATTTTCCTGTTTGATTCTTGGCAGCAGACTCTGAATCTTTCCTTCCTTTACCACTAGCTACAGCCAGTCTGAGAGTTAATTCCTGTTGCCAGAAGCAATTGCCATCCATAGTAATTTCTATTAGTGGGTCACTGGAGCCATACCATTTCTTTTCTCTCCACTCTTCTGGCCTCCTTGCTTTACCTTCTCCAGGTCCACTTTGTACATATTTAGTACAGGCCTAGATCTGTCTCCTTGAGGAAAGCAACTAGACTAAAGGTATTCTCACCTCCCTCTCAGTGTACTTACTGAGCTCCGTTTTGAACAGCTGGTAAGTGTCTGGGTTCCGTATGGTGAAGGCAATGTACATGTCTGGAGATCCCTAATCTGCCTGGCAAGCAGAGAGCTTTTGCAGCACTCCAGTGAGGGAGAGGATGATCTCTGGATCATATAGCACATCTACAATGAAAAATTCAGATAAGTCACTTCCCTTTAAATTTATTACTTAAAAATATTGAAAACGTTATGTGCTTTCTTGACTTAGGAAGGAAGGCTAGAGCCTGAAGAATGTAGCAGTTATAGTCATTTTATGCATCATAAAGTGAAGGAAAATTGCTCAGATTAAAATGAAATAATCTAGAAGAAAAGTTTATTTTCAAGTTGCTAAAGGGTGCTACCAAAAAACAAAAATCAGAGGCAATGACTCGTGTCCGTAAATGTGTGCGTGCGTGCGTGTGTGTGTGTGTGTGTGTGTGTGTGCGTGTGTGTATCTAATTGGTCAATATAAAAGATGCCTAGTGAAGCAAAACCTAACTGTTATTCTTAACCATTTCTATCTTCTAAGATTGGTATACCAAAAAGACCACTAGGTTTGAAATAGTAGGACCTGACTTCGAATCCCACTCTGCTGCTTACCATCCTATAACTTGGGAACAACTCATTAACCTCTGACCCTCATATATAAAAATGAATGGAGGTCTGAGGTCCCTTCCAGCTCTTATTTATGATACTATGTTCTGATGATTTTTCAGTTCCAGTTTACTGGAATGACTGCAGCCCATGAATGAGAGGAAAGAAGACCTTTAAGATTCTTTAAAAACAACTGGATGAAATGCTTATTCCTTTGGTAGACTGCTACTCTAACATCTTGGGGTAGCTGAAAGCCTCAGGATGAAATGGAGAATCAACCAGCCAATACAACAGAAATAAAGAATCACAGATTTTTAGGGTAGGCGGGTAGAACCTGAAGAAACTTCAGCCAGTGATGCTAAACAGGTCCCATGTGAATAAAAAATGAGAATAACAGGATATTGAGGCCAGCTTATTGTTGTCTCCAAATATGATTGGTGAACAATATTGCTTTTCTACATGAGTAGTTCTTAAAATGGTGCTTGTCTCTGAAGCTCTTCAAGTCTTGTTACCCAAGTAGGGATCTGTAAAGTGCTTTAGAAACAGAAGGTACAATATGAATGTAAGTTCTTTTAGAAGCAAGGTGTTAAGGTAGAAAGAGCACTGGGCTGGGAGTTAGAAGGATTACTAACTGTGTGACCATGAGCAAGTCAGACTTTCATTTGACCAATTAGTAAACCATGATTCAGAGGTTAATACATGCACTATTTACCCCAATAGGATTGTTGTGAGGAAAGGATTTTCTAAATGGGAGTTATCGTTTCTCTTTAGGCATGATAAGAAACCAAAGAAGGGTAGAGAACATGTGTCTCATGTTGTCTGGGGAAGACAGGCTATGGAGGCATGGTGGCCAAAAATGCCCAAAAATCTCAGCAGAGGTTTTTTCAGTAGGGCGTTCTGAGAGTAATAAGTAGTGAACTGTTAGTACTCTCAAAGTAGGACCCAGAGCAAGAAACAACCCTGCTGAAATGATGAAATTAAAATCCTTCTAATCAACTGTAATCTGGTTAAGGGTCACACTTGCTGCTAGGAGCCCTGGGGAATTTCATCTTAAAACATGTAACTGGGACATAACTGTAGATTCTCTTACTGGGCAAAACCAGAGATCATTCACCTGATACATACATAAATGAAATGAATCTGAATAGCTGTAATCTAAAATGAGGATGTTATGCATTGAGTAACTCATGGTTACCAACGGTAACAGTCCCTTGTATTTACTTTACTCTGGGGAATGAAAAACAATTTCCCTAACATTCAATCAAGTTTTCTTGTTCTTAACAGTTTCCACCACTGTACCCCTTCTCTTGATCAAGCTGTACTCCTCATCTCTAACATGATCTGTCTTGGTCAATACCTGCTGCAATGACGACATCTGGTTGGAAGACAGAGAGTTGTTCTGTAGTAACTAGATCCCAGTCCAACTGAACAGCCATCACAGTGGGTTTTGGTGAGACCAATGTACTGACTGAAGGTTGCAGGGGTGCTGTGGAATCTGGCTCTAGCAAGAAGCCATTTAGGAGGATATTTCCTTTGAGCTGCTGAAGAACCTGACTGTGACAGTCACTGAAGAGATATGCTTTGGGAGAGCACATCTTGCAAATAGCCAGACCTGTAAAACCAGCTCCACTTCCAAGTTCCAAGACTGTTCTGGGTGTGAGAAGTAAAGAAAGGCAACAAATTACTATTTCTGCAAGTATCAACCCACTTTTCCCCTGTTTGCTTCAGCTCCTGTTCCATCTGTTACCTGTTAGTGAAGGTCGCTGGGTTTTCTATGGCCCATTCTGCAAGGTAGAGAGCAGCTTCCCATGTGACCAGGCCTGTGGTCCCCTGAGAAATGATTGCTGTACTTTCAGAGAGGGAGACTGAATTTCCAGAGGGCTGGTAGAGGGAGAGAGAAAAGTTCTTTAACAAAGTAAAAACCACATGCTTCTTTAAATATGAAATGAACAGCAAATCATCACAAATCCCAGGTAGAGCCTTCTTTGACTCCCTGAGTTACCCATGACATGTCCCTCTGGCCATTAAGGCTTCTAAAAACACAAAAAGTTGAAGCTGAATGCTCACATTCTCTCACCTTTGCTGTTCCCTACATATAGCACCAAGAACACTATTTGGATTGCTGCCTAAGACTATGCCTGACATTCAGCCATAGAACCTTTATGTTTCTTCAGGAAAATGAACTGAATAACCTGATGAGTTGTTTTTGCTTGTTCTTGAAGTATAGGTGCATATCACGTATATCACATGGACCAATGACACCTCCTGCAACCATTGTCCTGTGAGATAACATTTGTGCCACTAGAGACAAGACACTTTTGCCTACCAAGTAAAAAGCATTTCTTCAGTGCTTCAGTGCCTCCCAACCCTGTGGCAGAAACTGTTCTAAATGCTCAGGATATGAAGAAAAAGTGAAATGGTTCCTGCCCTTAAGAATGTACAGTCTAGCCAGAGACAACGTGTGTGTGTGTGCGCATGTGTGTGTGCGCATGTGTGTGCGCGCGTTACATGTATTTATGTATACAATAACTACAAGGTAATTTGTGGGAGGGAGGTGGGAGGAAATGCACTAGCAACTGGGAGGATCAGAACTGTTTCCTATACAGATGTCATTTGAGTTACACCATGAAGGGAATGAGAAAAGTCTAAGGGACAGAGGTGAGGAGGGAGTGCACTCCATACATGGGGGACAATCGACGCAAAGGCATGGCATTCGGACATGGAGTGTCAAATGTCACTTTGGACACAGTGTACATGAATGGGAATAATGTAGGAAAGGTAAGACTGCTTCCTGAGTCAAAGTGTTAGGAAAGTAGATGAAACCGTCCTACCAGCAAATAACTCCGATGGCATTGGGTGGATTCCTCAGCAGAAAGAATTTCAGCTAATGCTTCGTAGAGCTCATCCAAAGGCTCTGTGTGAGCAGCCTCATGCTGTGGACATACAAGAGTGAGCAGGAATTCAAGGATGCAGCTAGGAGGATTAAATGACAATTACTAATCGTTTCTTAGTTAGGTAATAAAGAATGGTATGACTGACAAGACTCTCCCATCCACGCAGCTGTGGTGTGTCTAATGTCTCCAAGTCCCCATCCTGGAAGCAGACAGTTGGAAGATAAAGGTATGTTTGTGGGCTTAGATTCTGACATCAGCCAGCATGTCATCATCATCTCGAAGCCTATTTGCCGGCAGTGAACAAGGAAGTTTGGCCTCTTCCTAAAAATCCAATCCACATTCAGGAAAGATCAGGAAGAGTTCCAGAAACTCTATTCACCTTCAGAGCACACACTGCTCTGGTTCAGGATATTGTCTGTGAAGGAGAGCTGTCAGTTCTTTACCTTTTTAATTAGCTCAGAGAGGAAGCACCGAGTGTATTTCACTGATGGTGGATGTTTCACATACAGTGGATGCAGGACGGTCTGTGACAAATAACAAACAAGAGGTTGCTAATGGAACTAGTTTTTTAATGTATTCTATCATTCGTTAGTTTTGCATTAATTTTGAAGTTTTAATTTGGAGGGACAACCTAAAACTAGTGTGATAAGCTCAAAGTAAGAAAATTTTGAGGGCAAGGCCTGTCTTACCTTTGTATTTGTATTTCCAGTGCTTAGCAAAGTACTTGACAACATAGTAGGAGTTTAATACATTCTTGTAGATTGATTATTGATTTGGAGGAAAATGGAGGGTGGGCACATATGGTTATAACCATAACCATACCTGATACACTCAAAAGACTGACTCAAAATTCAAAAGTAATATCCCAAGAAATATCTGTCTCATAGGAGAAAGGAATGCTGAGAAAAGTGCTTCTATATGCAGAGAATGGGCAGCTTGGTAGAGGAGAGGATAGAGTGTGGGTTTGGGAGTCAAGAAGACTCATCTTCCTGAGTTCAAATCCAGCCCCAGACACTTACTAGCTGTGTGACCCTGGATACGTCACTTAATTCTGTTTGTCTCAGTTTCCTCTTCCGTAAAATGAGTTGGAAAAGGAAATGGCAAACTACTTGAATCTTTGCCAAGAAAACCACAAATGTGGTTACAAAGAGTTGGACAGGACTGAAAAATGACTAACAAAATATCTGGAGAAAGACTCTGTCCTCTGGCCAGAGCCAAAAGCACTGTCCAGATTGCTTTAGGACTGCCAGTGAGTGAAAAAACTATGAATCAGATCTTCGGTGTAGCAAATCTACAGGTATGTACAATTAAGAGATTATAGTTTTAGCAAACTATCTTATTTGGCAGAGAATCTGATACAATATAATTGCAGTTAAGATGTATCCTATTTTCTACTGGCTTAGACTTTCAGACAATGTTACATTTTAAAGCAGTTGTGCTTAAGGCATTATTCCCTTTGGAGCCACCACCAGGGAAGTTGTCTCCCTTTTCTTCCTTCCACCGTAGCCTCTTTCCTCTTCCTTGCTTTCTGCTGCCCAGAACCCATGTAGCCTGCTTGACTGTTCACCTCACTTGGATGAAATGGGAGTCACCAACTCTATTTCTTCTGGTCAGACAGAAGACCATCAGGCCTTACCATCTGGCCCGGAATGCAACCATGTCTTGAAATCTAAGAATGCCTGAACCTCCTCACCTGCCCGTTAGACTTTTAGGCCTTTCCACCTGCCTTATGTGTTGTCTCTCTCCAATAAGAACATAAACCCTTTGAGAACAGAGGACGGCTCCATTTTCCTATTTATATAACTAGTGTTTGGCTCATGGTAAGCTTTTCATCATTCTTTCACCTATTTTTCCTTATATAAACGTCTCATCTATGAGAAGAGAATTCCAAGTAGAAACCAAAAATGCAGTCCTGGGGGACCTCTGGCTCCACCACCCGCTGCCACCGCAATGCCAATAAAGGGGCGCTTCCCTATCCACCAGACCCTGCAGTTCCCGAGCCAGGGTGAAGTCGTGTTTAACAGCTCGGTCAAGGTCATGACCATGAATTACCACACCTGAGCCAGGGAGCCAGGAAATTTGTGTTTTTCAACATTCCTCAGATTCAGTACAAAAACCCCTGGGTGCAGAACATGATGTTCAAGAACATGAAACCATCACCATTTCTGTGGTTTAATTTAGATTCTGGTGAGCAGGTTCTGGTGGATGTGGAGGACAAGAGCAACAAAGAGATAGTGCAGCATATCAAAAAGATCCTGGGGAAAAATAAGGAAGTCCTCAAGATGGAGGAGCTAGAGAAAAAGAAGCTTTCGCACCCAGCTAATTTTGGATCCCAAAAATACTGCCCTGGGGAATGTGTCTGGGAAGTGGAAGGACAGGTCCCCTGCCCAACCATTGTGCCTTTGCCCAAAGAGATGACTGGCCAGTACAAAACTGCTCTGAAAGTCCGTGCTCAAGACTGAGGGCCCACAGTGAAGGCTCCTAAAGCCTGGGACATCTGGGCCTGTGTTGAAGGCCAAAGGCCTTAGAGACCAAAGGAGGGAGAGACAGGTACTCACGTGGTCTCAGCAACTAACTGGTAAACTCCCAGGCCTCTCTCCAGAGTCCAGGAAAGCCCAAGCTTCCTGGTATTCAAAAGGCCCCATTTTAGGCACTAGTACAAGGCTGGAGAAGCAAGAAGACAAAACAAGGCTGGGGGATTTATGTAAAAAGACTTAGTTTGCTAATAAAATACTTTATATTGACTCTAAAAAAAAAAGCATAGCACTATTTTTCTTAGGGAAATTGCTGAGCCCAATTTCTATTCCTCCCTATTTATTATTTTCATCTTTTTCCCCTTTTCCCATTCTTTCAAAGTATTTGTCCTAATAATCTCATCTTTTTTTTCCAAATGTAAGACAATAACACGCTGTTAAAATAAAAAACAAAGTCTGTATATTATGTGTAGTTTATACTTCCACTACATAAACAAGAGTAAACTCTTAAGTGCAGGTTAGGCAAAGGCAAAGTATCTAGCTTAAGCAAAGGCTTTATATCTAGCAGCTTATATAACAAGCCTAAATTTATACCTCACATCTACATGGTGTGGAGGCAGCATGGCATAATGGATAGAGGGCAGGCCTCAGAGCCAAGAAGACCTGGGTTCTAGTCCTTCCTCTGACACATACTATCTCTATAAACATGTGCAAGTCATAATCTTAGTACCCTAGGCAACTTTTTTGTTTCCTAATTAACAACTTGTTTTCTCTTCCCTCCATCCTACCTCTTCCCTCCTTTCTCCTTCAAAAAATACCCCCCCAAAACCCTATTAATAATTAGGCATAGTCAAACAAGACAAATTGTAATATTGGTCATGTGCAAAAATGTGTCTCATTTTGTGTCACTGTTCTGCTCACCAGGAAGTGAATAGTATTCTTCCTTACTGGTCCTCTGGAATCATGGTTGATCACTGCATTAACCAAAGTTGTCTTTTAACACTGTTCATTTCTAAAATGTTATAGTACATGTACAGCTATGTTGTAGTTACATATATAGAGAGAGAGAAAGAGAAAGAGAGCATAGTTATGAGTATAAATTTTTCCCTTGCTTCTACTCACTTTACTCTTCTTTAGTGTTCATACAAGTGTTTCTAGTTTTCTCTAAAACCATCCCTTTAATTTTTGGGCTCAGGCAGTTTCCTGAGGCTACAAATTCTAGATGAGTTGCCATAAGGTGAAGAGAGTTTCCATGCCTGATTACCCTACACAAAAGCCATCACAGATCTGGACCAAAATTAGAGTTTACAGGGCCAAGGCATCTCTCCTTACATTTGAGTAAAGCACTGTACTTTTACACTTGTGTAGTCTCTGTCTCCTAGGTTTCTAGGTGAATTTTTAAAATCTATTAAGCCAGCTATTTTAAAAGCTGGAAGAATACATAGCACCTGTCATCTTTTTTTTGTTGCAGACGGTTTCAAAAATGCATTCATTCCCTCCTCTCAAGTGTGTTTTTATATATTCTGATAGCTTCATCCATGGAAACAAAGCATCCCAAACTGTCCATTGTGCTGACATGCCAATGCAGGATGATACAAATGACTTCTTTTTAAGTTTCTGTTTTTAAAGGCTCCAGAAAGCTTGCTGCTGACATGGCAGGTGGCAGCACATTTCTTGCAGAGATTCAGTCTGCCTGAATATTTCTCAAAGTGAGATGGCATTAAAATCTATGGAGCTTTTTTTAACCCTCTGCAAAATATTCAGTAGCAGCTTATAATCCAATGAATTCTTTAATTTCTCTTCAAGGCTCTATTCAAAGGAGAGTAAAAAACATGAAGAAAAATGTCAAGGACATTTTCAGAGGAACATTAAATTTGCAAATGGTACATTTTTCTGTAGACTATTATGATTCACTAGAGACCCTGGGCCAAGAGGAAGTGGAAGCCATAATCAGAAAGCATGACCTTGATATATTAGACATTATCTATGAAGAAAAGGAGAGGAAATGAACAAACAAAAAATGCACCCAAAAACACAGACAAAACAACTCAAATCACTGGTTTTCATACAGTCCATTTAGAACCAGAATTTTAGAGCTTGAAGAAAAGATGTTAGTGATCACGGAGTTCAATTCCCTTATTTTACAGGTGAGGAAGATGGGCCCCTCCTATCAATTAATATGGAAACATCTTTCCTTATTAATAAACAGATGACTTAAGCAGAATGAAATAAACTTTTGTTGTTGTTTTTTTTTTCTTTTGACTAGGCATTTGGGGTTAAGTGACTTGCCCAGAGTCACACAGCTAGGAAGCATTATGTGTCTGAGGCCAGATTTGAACTCAGGTCCTCCTGAATCCAGGGCCAGTGCTCTATCCACTACGCCACCTAGCTGCCCCCAAGAAAGTTATTTTTAATAGGCCTGTTTATGTCCTGGATAAATAGAAACCTTTTAAATACAAGAACACCAAGTGCTTCTCCGATCACCTGATTTTAGACTTCCCTTTCACAGGTTACTCCAGGACAGAGAGGATATACCTTGGCTGAACTAAGGCCATAACAGTTCCCATGTTATTTCTGAATGATTAATGTTTATAACATTGTTTGCCATGATATTGTGGGGCAGCTACCATCTCCTCTAAATGTTGTACCTAAGGATTTCCAAACTGTTTGGTAGAAGTGTATTCCTGAGCCACTAACCCCGGCTACCACTTGAGCCAGTCACACTGAGTTCCCCAGAGGTCCTAAACTCTGGGCAAAGCCATACTCATCACACTTTTTGCATGGCCCTTTACCCACTATTCAGGACCAGTACCAAATCAGCTGCTCTAGAGTGCAGAGTGACCCTTCTGTGGGCAATTACTTATCTGCTTATCTATAACAGGAAAAGTCTTTGTGCCTTTTCTGTCCAGTGAGAAGGTAGAGAGGAGAGGAAAGAGAGTATATGAGGCATCCACTACCAGAACTGCTGTGAACATTTGGCTGAGTGTAGGGGACTAAGACATGTACCTACTGGTGCTGCGGCTGCTGCCATTGCTGTTGCCACTCTTATCTCTCCAACAACAGGACCTCTCAGAGAACAAGGTGGCCATAGGGAGGATGATCCTTCCTGCCCTGGAGAAAGCCACATCATTCATGGAGAAGAGATTCAGCGAGCTTAACCTGGATGGAGTATCAGGATTCTGGATACTGGAAGGTGGTGTGGCTTCCTCTTTTCCACAGAATGACTAGCAACCAAGACTGTCTTTAGACTTTTCAATTCATTTGCTAACCTCAGGCATAGGATATTAGCTGAGGCTGAACTTTATGTTTTGGTAATTTAGTAAGAGTATGGGTTTTATTTTTCTCATTTGGCCTCTGCCTATCTGGAGGAAAACCTTACTTTACACCTCTTGGGTTTTTAGAAGTAAAAAGAATTACATTAAACACTGAAGAAAAAATTTTTGAAAGCACAGGTCCCTAAAGAACGCTATAGCCCAGCTTCCCAAAGCAAAGCAAACAGTCTCTATGGCTCATTTTCTTTCGTCATTGTACCAACAAGGTAGGAGATAATATTCTTGTTTAATAGTTAAATAAAAATATTTCTATTAATTTACTGGGCCATCTGTGAGCAAACTGTTCCTCTACTCTAACCTCAGCTCACAATGTATTATAATCAAAGACATTTAGAGGTTCTGAGAAAGTGGATAAAGTGTTTGTTCAGCTTTGGAAAAGGAAAGTAGTCTGATGATAATGTACTGGAGAAAGGCCAAGTCAAACAGAGAGAAAACTCCACTCTGGTGTGGGACCAGTTGTAACCTCTGAGACTAGTAATAACTATCCTTAAGGGAGCAAACAGCCTGGGTCTCAAGATCTTGGTTTGGGATTGTTTCCATTAGGCTTCTACCTACAAAGTAATCCTCCCACTGGAGGTAATGGGAGCCCTTCTTAATCTTATTCCATGTTGGCTGCCAGCTCAGCCCTCCTACAACTGGAATTTGTGATGCCAGAAAATTCTAGGAGATGATGTTGCTAGGGTTTGAAGCAAATTTTCTTATGTCCATGTGGTCTGGATTTGGGCAGTACTATGTATAATGAATTTTTTTCCCCAGCAGGCTCTTCTCACCTGCTATCCCAAACCCAAGAGATTACCAAGAAAATGACCCCAGTATTGGGACCCTAGGATGAAAGGGAAAGTGTTCATCTCTAGTTCTTACTGAGAAAGGTGGGAGGATAGTAGGGTTTGGTTTTTTGTTGTTGTTGTTGTTGTTGTTTTGATCATGTTAATGACTAAGAGGAAAAAGAAAAAAAATTGCAACCCTAGAAAATACCTGTCACCATTTTCCCTACTCATCTGGGACACACAACAATTATTCTAGACCCTTTGATTTTTTTTAATGTGGCCTCAGGGAGAATTTAGTTGAGCTCTTCTGCTATGGCTATTTCATTCTTCAACTTTCTAGAGATCTAATCCTCCACAAATTACAAAAATCCATACATGTGATTCCCTTTAATGACTTCATTCATTCCCAGAACACCTCAGTGAAGAGGGAAGGGGACTTAATCTTGAGGAAAATGGCTAGAGTTCAGAAAGAGATTTGCCTTGGGTCATAGCAGAGAAAATTAAGGGCTGAAGTTACCTTGCTTCCAGTCCCCCAGTTCTTCCAATCACAGTTCCACCCATAAAGAAGGGTAGGGAGTAATACCTCATTGTTGGTGGAAAGAACTAGAACTATGATAGCGGTATTTCAGGGGCGGTAGCCTCTGCCTAAATAATGCACAGGAATAAGATTCAGACACATTTCTCTGTATAAGAAGAGCCAAAGCACACCAGTGGGGCTAGATCTGATTCACAGGGCTGTCATGTTCCTTCACAGTGCAACTAAAAGGTGTCTTGGAGAAATGGGGCCAGGAGCCTGCCCTGAAGCCCTTGAGCCTGAAGGTAGAGAACATAGTGAAGAAGTTGTTACCCCTCATCACCAGAGCCACAATCTACCTCAAGCTCAGTGACTCTATGTACTTCAAAGGTAAATATTGTGCAAGTCAGGAGGTTTATTTGCTAGGGAAACTAATCTAATCTCCCTCGCTTGAATGATTCTGGCAAACCTATGGGGTTGAGTAGACAAACTGCCATCCAGCCTCCTAACAAAGTACACAGAAACTCAACTGAGAGGAATTAGCAGAAAGTGTCTCCTTTCACAGTCCTTTCTGACTCTAAAAAGCTCCCTCTGGCATCTCCAGGTCTCTCTACCTGGAGAAATGGGGCCACAGTGGAAGCTTATCTTTAAATGACATGTCATTGTATGTCATTCTGTATAGATACTCTAATTGTGGCTAGGTCTCCCTCACTTTCTAACCAAACTATAAGTATGTGTTTTTTAAAGAAAATTAAGAAAAAAATAAAGAAAAAGAAAATTAAGTATCATCCACCAGTAATGCTCTTCTTCGGGATGTATTGTGAGTTCCTCCACGGCCAGATCTGTCTTTCACCTTTCTTTGTAGCCTTAGTGCTTATCATAGTGTCTTACAATAGTAGGCATTTAACAAATATTTATTTGACTGACTGACAGTAGGGGTCTCTTCCTGTTGATGAGAATATATTTCTTGAATCATTTCAACTCCAGTTCTCAAGTGGTTGGTGAAGGTCACAAGACCCTAGCCATACATTTGTGAGGCACAAGAAATTTAGGTTTGGGTCATGTATGTCCAGGGCATCAGTAGGATGGAAATCTGGTATCAGAGTTGACATAAAATTGCTTTCTCTTACTGTGTTACTGGTCAATTTCACTCTGACAGAATTTCAAGAGACTCTAAAGCCAGGGTTTTGGAATCTCCCTCATTCATGGAGTCAAACAAACACCTCCATGATCTACTCCAAGTTTAGCAACTCACATCCTTTTTCAGAAGGATTAAGTGATTCATGCATGGCGCTCTTACTAGGAACCAAGTGAGTTTAATTGCTCTTTTTCTTTTTTCCCTGCATAGAAAAGTACTATCAGCAACCCCTCATATAAAAACACTTCACACAGCAGCTGCTCCCATTTCAGTATGCTTTTTCTGCCATTCAGTGAGCAAACAAATGTTTTGCTCATTTTATTTTTTCAAGTGAATATTTATATATTTTCCAGTTATATGTAATGACAATTTTAACATTCACTTTTTAAATTTTGAGTTCCAAATTCTCTCCTTCAATCCCTCCCCTCTACCCTCCTTGAGAAGACAAGCAATTTGATATAGATTTTACATGTACATTTACATGTACATTTACATTTACATTTACAAAAAAAAAACATATTTCTGTATTAGGAACATTGCAAAAGAAAAGACAGACCCCCACCCAAAGAGAAAAACAAGAAAAATAAAGTTTGTTGTTGTTGTTGTTGTTGTTTTTAGCATATGCTTTGATCTGCATTCAGATTCCATTAATTCTTTCTCTGGAGGTGGATTGCATATGCTTTTCAAACTCAAAATCAGTTCTACAACTCCTCTTATCTTCATTCATTGCTTTATCCAAATAACAACCTGGGACTGCTTGCTCCTCAGGGAGGAGGGCTTGCAGCCCTGCACTGTCACTGACGTCTGCAGGGAACTCATGACTAAGCCTGGCTGCATGGGCTATACACTCTCACACCAGCTCCTCTATTTCCTGATTGCCAAAATGGTAAGTGACTATTTCATGGGCTAGAAGATTGCTCCAGAAGGCCAGATAGTACCAAATTTAGATAGTGTTGACCAGGAGGCCATCCAGCTACCACCATATATATGACAATGTTTTATTGGAGCCAAAATCAAAGACTTGAAGAATAGGTTGTTTGTCTTTGGCACATAGCCTGTTGCCCATGGCTTTTTACCCTGATCTTCAAGGCACATTGCTCTTACTTGCTACTCACCTACAGATTTCAGATTGAAATTGTAGTCCAATTCCTAATTATTTGTATCTTCACTTGTCAGAAAGATTCTCTGCACTATTTTTGTGACTAGAGGTATCAAAAAATGTCTCCTTGCCTTCCCTACTTGGCTGTATCTCTGTCAGATGCTTCTGATCCAAAATTGGAAGTGGAGACAGTTGTCTCTAAAGAGTTCAATTCAATATTTCAAAACACTTTTAAGAATTCAGAAACTCACTTGGCATAGGAAGGACTCAATATTTATACTTGATAAAAATGGAAATGAGTAGGTGAGTAGATGGCATCTGGGTCTTTGGACTACTGATCTCTCAGAGTCTACTATAGCTGCTGTTCCAGAAGACAACCAACAGGGTGAGTCCTAGAAAGAATTATAATTAGAGTTCCAATTATACATGTTGTAAGACTTCATGCAGAAAGAATCCTGGCAAAAGCCTTCATTTTACATACACTGACAATATCTGAGGTCCATTTCAAAATCACATATTTTTTTCTTAATTGCTACTCCTTCCTGCCACCAAAATGAAATTCAATGCTCCCTGGTGCTCTGGTCCCTAGAAAGGATGCTCAGATGGCCTGTTCCTCCAGTCCAAATACTACATGGATATTCTGTGTGCTAACATGATGGCATTGAACTTGGAAATTGAACAAGTTGGATTTCCATTTCTCAATCAAGATCTCTTCATGGAAAATAGTATGAATTGCTTTCCATTCTCCAGATAAGTGCATATAATCCTTCTGTTTTATCACACACACACACGCCATTCTTGATGATAGTTCTAACTTCTTTTATTCACAATTCCCCTCCCTTAAAATACAGAGTGTCTGAACTCTCCAGGACTGATATCAGTCCTTCATCTTTAGGTCAGGGATAAAGTAAGCTGGAATGGTAGAAGTTCTTTAGTTTGGAAGCCCAAATCCCATCAAATATTTTCATCTCCCAAAAAACCTATGACTTTATCCAACCTTCATTGAAGCTCTCAGTTGTTGAGGTCATGCTTACCTCAAAGTTGAACTAGGTTGTGCCGCCTGTTTCTACAGCAAAGATGCAGTTTTACTCTTCTCTATCAGGCAAGAGTTCTAGTGGCTCGATACACTCAACTCTGCTCAGGTTTGTGCTGACCCCTGAGGACATAGCAGGCATAACAATGGGAACAGAGGTGGGGAAGACTGCCAAAGGAACCCAGGATATTTGAGAAGATAATTAATTTCATCTTCTTTTCCTCAGTCATGTTCTGTGGAATTTCTGGATACTCAGATTTCTACAAGCCTAGATGGCTACAGATTATTCTTACCTGGCAGCAACCTAAGGAGGGATGCTTTGGGAAGCCTTGTGAGTATAGTTGACTACCTTGGTGGCAGGGAAGTTGAGCAGTTAGACAAGATGAAAATGCAATCTTCCATGTCCCATCAGAAGAAAATGCATTAGCAACTCATTGGAGATTTTGCAAAGATGAAAAACTATTTTCCCAAGCACTGATAATATTCGATGGAGGGAACTTTTACTGAATGCTAGGAATGTACTGTCCCTACTCTTAGTGTTCGTGGTCTCCATCCAAGGAGCAGAAGAGACACAGTATAAAAAGAGAGGAGTGGTGTAGAGCATTGGCAGGAAAGCAAAGAACTGAGCTTAAGGCCTTACAACAGGGTTTCTGAGTTGAGATCATTTGCCTTCAGGATCCTAAAAAGGATTTGGGCATCTAAAAGAAGTTTGCAAGAAAGAGATCTTATGAAAGAAGTAGCAGGAGCTCTAGAATTGATGGAATAAACATAATGACAACTCATATTTATATAGCACTTGGCATATACAGTCAGGAGTGAGAGAAACCACAAACACAGCCCCTTCAGGTTCAAGAAGTCTCCCACAACAGCACAGGGTTGTTGGAAATGAGGGTGGGGGATGGCAGGAGACATTTGTGAAAACTCAGTTTAAAGAATTTCACCTGATGTTCCTCTCTATTTTTTCTGTCCCCAGATGACAATAGAAAACAATTACCCAGAGTTGGTAAAGACCAACAACAATCATTGAGAAGAGTTAAGAGGAGAGAGAAAGGATTTTCAGGTAAAACCATCAAAAGCTAACAGGATGTCTTTCCAGTGCCCAGAAGACAAGTGGGAAAAGCCTGGGACTATACTTAGTCACCTCTCCCTACACACACATTATCCTATGCAGAGATGCCCTATATTTTACTAACAGAAATACAAGACAATTTAATAGGCATAAATTGCATTTGCTCTTCTGAAAATGCACATTTGGATTACATTCTTCAGGAAAAAGAAAACATTTCCAGGGAAGAGCCCTGGCTTCCTTCCCCCATGTCAGGTGGTCCAGAAGACTAAAAGAAGATGGTAATTTGGGGCTACGGAATGAAAAAGTGGGTTAGTAGCAAAGAACAGTTGTGATATCAGAGTTGACAGAAAGACTTGCTGCAATTTCTTGTTTTTCATATTTTAGGTGGAATTTAGTTTATTTATTTTTCTTTTCTGAAGAATTCCTCCCTAAGTTTAAGGGGCAAGCAGAGAGCAAGACAGATCCACTCTTCTTCTGGGTATTCTCCTACCATGTCAGTGTACATTTTACTCTCAGTTACCTCGGGAGTGATTAGCCAAACCCTTCCATGCTCCCTTCTCTCTTTTGGTCATTTAACTTCTCATCAACATCTCCACCTGCAAGTGGTGATAAGAAAGGAAACTCAAACAATTTTATAGGTCTGAGCAAGGGGGAAGCCATCACAAGGCCCTTGGATTTTTCTTTATCAGTGCTAGTACCTGCCAAATACTGATGACCAATTAAGAACTAATTCTCCCCACCTGCTGGAGAGAAATGACCTTATTTAGTTGTGAGGGCAGCTATTTCCTTAAGGCAGCCTAGTGATTCTGGGACTCTTCTGCAAGGTCAAAGGGGTTAACAAAGTGAATCAAATCCAGAACCTTTCAAGACCATGCATCTTTAAAAAAAAAGAAGCTCATTTAGCTTGGTGACAACAAAAGAAAGGACACAGGGACAGGGAGTGAGAAGCAAGGCAACCTTCATTCTGTGTGTCTGAGTCAGGTCCTTTCTCTTCACTTCTGTGAAATGGGGGAACAGTCATGGCTCACTCACATTTTCCTAGGGGTACTGTTAGAAGGAATAAAATAATCTGGGTGACACCATTTGAGGTGTTTAATAACTCTACTAAATAATTTTATGGGATTAACACATGAGCTAAAGGTCCATGCCTAAAGCTGAACAAATAAGTGATAACATCAGGGTGGAACTGTGGCAACCCTGAGCAGCAATGAAAAGCATATCTGATGGGCAGCCTAACATTATTCTTTCTCTCCAGATGGGTGTTCTTCACATAAAACAGGTGTGGCAGTTGCAGCCTTGGGTGGCTTCCTTTATCACTCTGCAGAACATTCACCAACCATCACCAAAGCTCGTTAATGCCTCAAAACAAGCAAGCAGCAACTCAAAGGGATGATTCTATACCTGCTGAAAATGAAACATAGCTTTTTTGGTAATGCATCCCCTTAGGTCCTGAGATTACATAAATTCACCAGGAGAGTAGTGGGAAACTACAGGCAGACAAGCTAGACAAAACCAGTGTAATTGAAAATTGGGATTAGCAGAGCTAGCAGAAGGATAAAAGTAACAGTATTAACTATGTTTAGCAAAACTGGTCACCCTGATTGGCCTCCAGAAATTACTAAATTATTTTAACTTAACCAACATCAGGCATCTCTTATGTGCAGACAACTGTGCAAGATGCTCAGGGGAAAACAATTTCAATAAATAGTGCCTGTCTCATGGAATTTACAATCAAAGTGCCTCTTCCTAACTCCTCGTAATATAACACCCCTGGAAAGGTGAATTCTAGTCATTGAAAGCCAGGAAATTTTGAGGTTGGGTATTCCCAGGCTCCACAATTTCTATCTGTTCTGTTTAGGAGCAAAGACAGATATGGCAAGTAGATATATGACTTTCAAGGAATAAAATACCACATTGCCCAGAATTTGAAGCAATATACTTTCACAGCATATGCCTACTGGGGAAGCCCACTGAAATGTTTCCTTCCCACAGTCCCTTTGATTCCTTAATTAATGGCACCTATAGAATATAAATGCTATAAGAGTAGAAAATGTTTGTTTTCATCTTTGTTCTCCAGAACCTATTAAGTGTCTGGAATATAGTAGGAGCTTAATAAATGCTTGTTGATTATTTATTGATCTCATTTCTAATTTGAATTGATTATTCACAATGCCCACAAACAAAGGTCTTGTTGCTTCAGTTGACTTACTGGGTCATTACTATATGTCCTTAATAATGTAGTTCTTCAGAGTGAAGAGAGTGGCCCAAATGTGATTTCATAATCTTTCACAGCTCAGTTCCTACCAATGCCATAGCATTCTGTGTAGCCATCTTCATGGAAATTCAGGTTGCATAAAAGCTCTTGTCTACCCTGATAAACTTAGACTTGTATCAAAATAGCACCTAAGTGTTCTTTCTAACACTGTAGGATACAGGGAGAAACTTTGGAAAAGTTCTAGAGTCTAATTACACAATCCAAATTCCACAGTGACACATGGAATAGTCACATATTAGCCCTGTTACTAAAGGAAGCATTTTCTAATTTTAAATTCAAAGCCAGATATGTAGAAATGTATCTAAATTTCTGTGGATGAAGCTCTCAAATCTATCCCATCATTAATGGACACTGCTGCAGAAGCCATGGTATGTGCTCATGTGCTCTTCATGGTACTTTAAGAACTAGATTCCAGAGAGTTACAGCTGGAAGAGACTTTTATTTTAGTATTACTATTATTTTTTTTTGGTGAGGTGATGGGGGTTAAGTGACTTGCCCAGGGTCACACAGCTAGTAACTGTTAAGTGTCTGAGGCTGGATTTAAACTCAGGTCCTCCTGACTCCAAGGCCAGAGCTCTATTCACTGCGCCACCTAGCTGCCCCTTAGAAGAGACTTTTAAAGGTCAGCTAATACATCTCTTTTCCTTTAGGAAGTTTCACACTTAAGTCATTCCAGAAAAGAAAGTCATTCTATATTTACTGTTTTATATAGAAGATTCCACAACCCCTCTAGTTACTGATTTCTAAATTATATCCATTCTTTCCCCATCCTTATCTTTCCCTCACCCACCCCAACTATGTCACAAGATAAAAACAGCCAGCCAGCTATTTCTGTATGACAAAGCAATTAGATTTGGTGTTGAAGATCTTGGCTTAAATTCCAGTACCTGTGTGGTCTCGAGAATAGCACTTAATCTCCCTGAGTCTCAGCTTGGTCCTCTGTAAAATGAGGAAGGACTGGATTAGATAATCCCCTAAGATTTTTTTGGCTCTAAATCCATGAATTAAAAAGATTTTACGAATGTCATCATTGTGAAAAAAAATGGACCTGTCTCAGGAAAGCCAGAGGGCAGTTTCTTGGATCAGAGGGCCAAAAAGGAGTCCAGTAACCCTTGATCAACTGATTATAGCTGCCTGATGGGATCTAGATTGTTGTTCATGTTTATTTCTCCCATGAGGATATGTACTCAGTGATTCTGGATGAATCATATGTGTTCTCCATGAGTGAGAATAAAGTTTGTCATATCCTTTGCAACTCTAAGGGAAGATTTCTCTATTATGGACTCTTCTTTCTGTGGTTGCACTAAGCACAAGATTTCTAAGATTTTAGTTCATCAGAATTAGTGGAGGTTAAGTAGAGCTGTGTCTCAGCTGTTGTTAGAGTTTTGGCTATGAGTGGCAAAAGTTGGAAGGAAGGAGGTGGCTGTCAGTACTCGATGGACAAAGGATTGCTTTTAGAAGACTTCTAAGTCAGTCTTACATCTGTCAAGTACCTATGTGCCAGGCACTGGGAGGGTAAATAGACTAAAACAAAGCAGTCCCTGCCCTCAAGGACCTTACATCCTGGGGAGCTGAAGGGGAGGGAAACTATAATTAGACCAGTAAATATAAATCTAAATATACATACATATATATAAAGTAATTTCAGTGGGGCACTACCAATTGAAAGAATCAGAACAAGACTTGTTTAGGAGGTGATACATGAACTGAGGCTTGACCTAGGAACTCTACAAGGCAGAGGTAAAGAGGGAGTGCATTCTAGGCATGGGGTACCTGATGCAAAGGCAGAGAGCCTGGAGAGGTTCTATTTTGTATCCCTAGGGCTTAAGGACAATGTAAGTGTGAAATGAATACTTCATTCATTCATTCACTCATTTCCACCTCTATATCTATGGTTTCATGAATAGTATGATCAGAAGAACATACTTATGAGACTACTAATAACTACACAGCAAGTCAAACAGCCTAAGTACTTAACATGCAAGTGACAGGTTTCAGTTTGATAAACTTTAGTTGACCGATTTGTTTGGGGGCTTATTTTACATCTGGTCAGTAGGATAGAGAATAGAGATTTCATGTGAACAAAAAGATCCTTGATTGGCTCTCATGCAGATGTAAACTCTGCTTGAAAACTCTGGTTAATGCAGATTTTTGCTGCAAAGGGATTTGGAGTTCTCCAGGGTTCTTTCTTCCTTCACCCTCACCCACACTCCTTCCTCATCCCCTCAATCTGAGAGCCAAAAATAACTGTCTAAAAATACTGGATGTTGTACTGACATAATCTGGGGGAGAAGGGACCACAATATTCCTGTTTCCACCTGCCCCCCCCCACCTCTGCCTTTTGAAAAATCTGAAAAGATTATTTTGAGATATTTCTTTTATTCTATTACATGGAATTTAAAAATATACGTGTGTGTGTGTGTGTGTGTGTGTGTGTGTGTGTGTGTGTGCCTGAACTTATTCAGACCTGGGGCAACTGCCCCTTCTCTCCCTCACCTCATATTCCTTTGCTTACATGGCATTTTGCCTGCCTGCAGCAAAAATATTTTATCTTTCCTTCCCACCTGACCTGTTCTCTGAAAACCAATACTTTACCACTTCAAGCAGTTGTAATTGTCTCCCTACAGTTACTTCCAACTCCAACACCAATTGCATCTCCTCTATAATTTATCAAGCATTCTTTTTTTCTCTCCCTTATTTTATTTTTTCTCAATTACATGTAAAAGTTTTAACATTCATTTTTTAAAAAATTTTGAGTTCCAAATTCCCTCCCTCCCTTTTCCCCTCCTTAAAAATACCTTTTATGTAATTTTATGTAGCTTATATGTGTGCAGTCATGCAAAACACATTTCCACATTAGCCATGTTGCAAAAGAAAAGAGACAAAAAAATCAAGAAAAATAAAAATTTTTAAGTATGCTTTGATCTGCATTGACTCTATCAGTTCTTTCTTTGGTGGGGGATAGCATTTTTCATCATGAATCCTTTGGAATTGTCTTGGATCATTGTGTTTCTGAGAATAGCTTAGTCATTCACAGTTGATTGTCATACAATATTGCTGTATGTATGTGTACATGTTCTCCTTGTTCTGCTCACTTCACTTTGCATTAGTTGATATGTGTTCCCAGGCTTTTCTGAAGCATCCTGCTCATCTTTTCTTGTAGTACAATAGTATTCCATCATAATGATATACTACAACTTGTTCAGCCATTTCTCAATTAATGGACATCTTGATTTCCACTGTTGCTATACAATATGCCATATTCTCATGAGAGAGAAGGAGAAAAATTTGGAACTCAAAATCTTATAAAAATAAATGTTGAAAACTATCTTTACATATAATTGGGAAAAATTTTAATACTATCATGTGGGGGAAATTGCTGCTGTAAATAGTTTTGTACATATGGATCTTTTTAAAATCTCTTTCAGATACAGACCTAATAGTGGTATTGCTGGGTCAAAGGATGTGCACAGTTTTATGGCTCTTTGGGCATGATTCTAAATTGCTCTCCACAGTGATTGGATCAGTTCCCAATTCCACCAATGATGCATTAGTGTTCCAATTTTTCCATATCCCCTCCAATATTTGTCATTTTCATTTTCTGTCATATTAGATAATCTGACAGGTATGAAGTGATCCTTTGGAGTTGTTTTAATTTGCAATTTCTCTAATCAATAGTGATTAGAACATTTTTTTCATATCACTATAGCTTTCATTTCTTCTTCTCCCAAAACTGCCTGTTCATATCCTTTGACCATTTATCAACTGGGCAATGAATTGTATGCATATAAATTTGATTCAGTTCTCTATATATCTGAGAAATGAGGCTTTTATCAGAGGAATTTGCTCTAATTACCATCTCCCAGTTTTGTATTTTCCTTCTAATATTGCCAGCATTGGTTTTGTGCAAAAACTTTTTACCTTAATGTAATAAAAATTATGGGGCAGGTAGGTAGCACAGTAGATACAGTGCTGGCTTTGGAGTCACGAAGACCTGAGTTCAAATCTGACCTCAGACACTTATTAGCTGTGTGACCTTGGGCAAGTCACTTAACCCTGTATGCCTCAGTTCCTCATCTGTAAAATGAGCTGGAGAAGGAAATGGCAAACCACTCCAGTTGCCAAGAAAACCCCAGAAGGCATGATGAAGGATTGGACATGACTGAAAATGACAAAACAACAATGAAAATTATCCATTTTACCTCCCATAATGCTCTCTATCTCTTGTTTGGTCATAAATTCTTTTCTTATCCATATAACTCACTGGTAAAATATTTCTTGCTCCCCTAATTTGCTTATGATATCACCATTTATGTATAAATCATGTGCCCATTTTGACCTTATCTCAGTATACAGTGTAAGATGTTGGTCTGTCCCTTGTTGTTCAGCCATTTTTCAGTTGTATCTGACTCTTCATGACCCCATTTAGGGTTTTCTTGGCAAAGATACCGGAGGGGTTTGCCATTTCCTTCTCAAGTTCATTTTACAGATGAGGAAATCAAGGAAAATAAGCTTAAATGAGTTGTCCAGAGTCACATAGCTAGTAAGTATCTGAGGCCAGATTTGAACTTAGGGAGATAAATTTTCCTGATTCCAAACCCAGTGCTCTATCCACTGTATCACCAAGCTGTCCCACTAGTTCTATACCTAGTTTCTGCCAAAACTGCCCTTCAGTTTCATGAGCAATTTTTTTCAAATAGTGGGTTCTTGTTGCAAAAGCTTGGATCTTTGGGTTTATCAAACACTAGATTACTAAGGTAATTTACCACTCTGTATTGGGTACTAATCTGTTCCATTGGTCTAACATTCTATTTCTCAGCCAGTACCAGATTTTTTTGATGA